GGCACTTTAATTAGAACAGCTCTCAGAGCCACTCTAATTAAAGTGCCCTTCACCCCCACCACCACTACTCATGGAGCACATGTATAAACACCCTAAAACTGGAAGCTGAGTCCTATTGTGCTTGACTCTCCGATGCAGGCAGGGTTGTCTTTTTTCATTATTTTTTTTTGTTTGTCCTCTGTATATTTTCCAATGGGGCAGCTTCCATGTTTTCCTGGCCAAAAGAAATATGCTGCACTAGAGCTGTCTGTTTTGGGTGGTGAATGGTAAATCACTCCTTCACATGCAGCATTTTCATGAATATTCTTCCTTGTTTCAGTTCAGGTGTTTTAACAAATAAATCTCCAAATGACAGCTAAAATGTAACGTGCTTGCTTTAAAAAAATATTAAATTGAGAGAGATCCAAATAGGTATCACCCTCAGCAGTTTGGAGAGTAGGCCCAGCCTTAATCTTTCTGCTGTAAGCAGGCCAGATCTCAGATTCACTGTCACAGAAGTCCCTATATTCAGATGAGCCTGTATTTTTTATAACGCACACTTTATTTTTATATGTACATTTTGCATTATTTCAGTCCTACAATCAAATTAAACCTAGGTAAATGTATTACTGCATGTATCAACTTTTTAACAAATTACTGCTTTCTGGTTGTGACAAATTACTATTATCCTGTAAACAATATGTATGTGATGCAAGTTAGAAAGTAATAGTAAAGGGCAGATAAAAATTCTATGAGCCTTGTCCTTTAAGTCAAGATGGAAGGTAGAAACTGTACCAACTTTAGATCAGTATCTACATCATGGACAATTAATATGTAAAAACATGGTCATTAAGCCAGAAATCCTTTGGAATAAGGGATACTTATTTGGATAATTAAATTGAAGGGTCATAATGTGAGACTGCTACATTCCAGATGCATCTTGGAAGGGATATTGAGCTGTTAAAAGGTATTTTTTTCAAAACAAAAAACTGAACTATTTGGCCAAGCTACTGAGACAGACTAGCTTTTCCCCCTCCAGGGACACCAGAGGACATTACTTTGTGGGGAGGGGTGGTGTCTGGTTTGCTGATGAGTAATGTAGGTCAAAAGATCCTGGAAAGTTCAGCAAAACTAGGTAATGTAGGAAGGAAGGCAATGGCACAAGACACCTGAAAGGAAAAAAGTGCTAGAAGAGTCGTATTTGTTGGGTGTCCATCTATGTGACTCCTGGCAGAGTTTGAGATATGCATGCCACTTCCTTGGCCACATTGGATTTTCAAGCTCTGCCCTTTTTTTATTAGATCATTTGAGTTTTGAATTGTTTTGAGTTAAAGCCATTTCATTACATCCCTGATGGCAAGGTAACCTCACTGTGTAGAAGGGGAGGTAAAAAGCCTGTCCTGGAGAATCCCTGGAACACCCTTGTGAGCTGCCATCCTGCTGATGGCTGCCTTCGCAGGGACACAGATAAGGCAGCCTGGCCTAGCCATTTGCATGCTGGCCCAGCTTCAGTTTCCCACTGTCCCGTGCGTTTTCTGGGTGGCCTTAGCCAGGTCACTTTGTCACTCTTGTCTTTACTCCCCACCAATAAAACAGCCCTCTCCTTCTTCACCACCTTGTTGAAAAGATAAAAGTGCACTGAAGATTGAGAGACAAGGTTCTTTGGATTGTGAGGCACTTGGATGCTGCAGTAAAAGAAGCAATATAAATACCACACTGGACAGATAAGGAGAGGAAGCTGACCAGGAGGAGTGATGAGACTAGAGGGGCAAATATGAGATGCAGTGGTTCTTTTTCTTCTTGCTTGGACACAAATAGAGCCTCACTTTGACCATCCTCAGCAACAAAGGACAAGTGTACAGAACATAATATCCATGCCATAGGGCATGAACCTTGCTGCCTTCTACACTTGAATACATGAGAATGGCTGCACTTTACCAGGAAAACCTGTCTCTGTCTTTAAAGAAATATATTTTCAATTATTTTAGCATTTAATGTTTTAAAACTAAGATTTCCAATGTCAAGCAAGTAAGGGTTGAGGTATAGGTGAAGTCCACGTGTATTATGTTAGAGGACTCCTTACTCGGTGACCATGTTTGTACTTGGGTTTAGGTATTGATCTCTAGAATGACAGAATAACATTTTAGTTCAAGCATGTGTTTGGTGTGTGTGTGTGTATCCACACATAAACATGTATATCTACATATCTATCTCTCTAACTATATACACATACACACACAACTATATATACACAAATATATGTATGTATGTAGAGAGAGAGATGGATGTACATATAGATGTGTGTGTATGAGTGTATATATGCATATGTACATATAAAAATATTTGGGGAAAAGAACATTAACAGAAATCAGCCAGTGATACTAATGTAAGATAAATTCTTGTATCGCTGGAATCGCACAAGAGAAGGAAAAGAAAATGTTGTGGTCAAGTTTCAAACCAAGACTCAAGTGTTAATTGAGAATTGCACCTAACTAAACATTTTCTGCAGCTGTTAAGTCAATGTGGGTGTTGACAAACTTTGACAATTAGGGACCCCAGGATCATCCCTAAATAAATCTTTCATTGCAATGCATCCTGTCCCCGGCCAGGCTTGGAGTAATAGGGCAGGGGCTATCCAATAAGCTATCTGGTGAGGCATTGATTGCCATTCCTTTGGGTAAAAACAAGTGCTGCCTCACATCACTGCTCCATGTGTTGAGGCACGCTGAGGAGGAGGACTCAGTCTTACCTATTCAGGAGTCTGTGGAGGACTCTGGCCAGCACCACTTCAGGTCACTCTGTGGTGTAGGACAGACATGCCTGACCCCAGAGCAGCAGGTTTCAGAATTTGCAACGCTGAACATGAAGAAGCTGTTGTTTCAGGCTCTCCGCATACTCAAGCAGGTGTTGCTGCATCTGTTACACAGCGTGTCTTTTGAAAATTTTCCATGAGGTTTGAAGCCATTTTTTTAAAACGAGCATGAAGAGTTGCTTGCTGCCTAGGCACTTGATCAGGCTTGAATCTCCACAGAATATGTTCGCCTGCCATTCTCCAAATTTTGTTGGCCGTGAATTTTACTGTCTGTGGGATTCTGAGGGGTAAAATAACACCCGTTTACCAAGCGCAGTGCACACCCCAGAGCTTTTTCTTAATTGTACAGAGATTTTGCTTGGCTTGGACTATCCTCGCTTTCAGCAGCATGCTTTATTTGTATGCTTTCTAGATACCTTCCTCTTAAGATAGAACAGTAATGAAGTAATTCCTTGTATTGATAACCCCAGCCCCAAAAAATCTAGAGATTGGCTTAAAAGGCATGAAGCTTAAAATAAAAAGTGTGGTTATTATTATTGTCCAATTGTTGAGCTTTTTGGGGTTCACATTTTAGCTTTCCTCAGCAATGAGAGCTTGATTTTTCGTTTTAACCAGAACGTTGAATTTTTTTACCTAATAACATGATTCTTGAAACTGGGATTTTCAGGAAAATTTGTGACAGTTGAAAATACCAAATGCCTGAATGTGCGTGTCTTGTCCAGCTCTCCAAGCTGATATACACCACGCTCATGTGAAATATAACTGTAGATACTATAAAAAGCTCATTGTGATGTGGAAAACTCCATTCCCAGTAAAAATTGCATGTTTTCCGTGTTTATAAATAATACCTAAAATTTACTGTTGTGGAGAGAGATTAAAAGAAAATCTTGTACAGGGTGTTTACTTGGTGTCTTCGGCGTGCTTGCGGGTCTAGTCTGTTTTAATGTTTTGGTGAAGAGTTGTACTTCCGGGCACATTCGTTGGTGGCCTGACATCAGCCTCATGCACTTGCTCCAGGAGAGCTCTGATTATATGTTCTTCTGCAGCAATACAAGTGGCTATTTCAATAGCAGCAGCAAAGCTGCTACTGGGGCAGCCAGTAACACAAACACAGAAAGATGGAGGGGGGGATGAACAGGGATGGGACTAAGTATATTTAATGGCATTGCTTTCAGGACTGCTCATCTTCCCCTGCTGGAAACTGCCTTAGAAGTTATCAGGAGGAGAAGAAAATTCTTTATTAGTGGGAGAGGAGGGGGAATCTCTTTGCTGTTTAAAGGGACCTCTTCCAGAACCTTAAAGGAGATTTTTTTTTTAATAGTTTTTATAAAGTTCAAATTGATTTCATCCCCTTAACTTTTTATGAATCATAAACCATTCTTGAGAAATTTAGTTCCCTTTTAATGACAAACTGCACATTGTAATCCCCTTCTAGACAACATGTAACATCTTTAAAGCCTGAGCTCCATTGACAAAAAGTGTGTTCGGTAGCACAATATATATTCCATAATCGTACACACACCAAGTATTTGCACATGTAAATGACGCCTGAGATGTCTGAAAGATCATTTGTTCATGCAAATACTTTGTTTGTCCACGAGATTGTAGAAATGTTGGGAGCACAGAGGCACGCAGTTGTACATGGGGTTTTTTTCCCCCGGCTCAAGAGGGTTTCTGTATTATAAAACCCATATACATAAACTTATATATTATCCACTTTGTGATTTTTCTCTTAGCTTCTAGGTAATTGCTGTGTAAGTCTTCCTGAAGATTCAAAGTTTACAGCTGCTGAAAATTGTACAACCCCTAAATACATTGGATGTATGAATGCAATTCTAGAACAGCACAATGTCTATAATTTCATAGTAACGTCCTTATAGTTGCTAAAGTTGGAAGGAAATTATTTCTTTGTCTAGTTATTCATCAACATTTTCCCCTTTGTACTCTTTTCAACCAGCTGTGGAGAAAAACATAGATCTGCGCTTACACACTTATCCCTCTCACTCCCAAATGGTCCCAGTGCAAGCTGTAAACAGTATCCATGTTTTCCATTGACAAATGATGCCTTCAAGTTACTCACTGAACACTTGGTTTAGCTGCTGCTTCACTGAACAGGAGTAGTGTGTGTAAGCCTCATGCATATGCCTCGCACTAGAGCAGCGGGTGTGCTGTTCCTGTATTGATATGATTTTGTGTTCTTTCCCTTTAGATTAGAATATGTAAAGCTCTCAGTACGGTAATTGAGAAAGGTAAGAGTTTGCAGGCTGCACGGCTGGCATCATTGCTAGATTTACTAACCATCTCTCTTCTGTTGCTGCTATCAAACTGAAACAGCTCCTGGTCTCGGGGTCTCTGTCTTGCACTTCTGTCCCTGTCACCTTCATCCCCAGCCTCTTTCACTCTACCAAACATGGATTACAAGCTCTGTGCTGGAAGCAAGTGGCTTTGCCTGTGCCCACCTGACTCAGTTGTGGCACTGAGAGCCATGCTGCTTTACCCTGCTAGTGCCTCCCTGCTCCTGCATGTCTGAGAAGCGCACATACTTGTTCTTTCTTCTGCTCCTGTTTGCTTCAGGCGGAATCTGACACCAACACCTGCCATAGTGGAAAATGTCTTTGTTGCCTTGCACTTTTGTCTGCATTGCTGCAGGGGAGCCAATGGGAGTTAAGTCCATTTACTTTTTTGTTGCCTAAGCACCATGGAATAGGATCTTGAGATGGGGCCGATAAGGAGCGGCACGTGCTGTGCTGGCCCTTTGAGTTAGCTCAGCTTAATAAGGGCCTCCCTTTCTAGGGAGGGCAGATTGCTGAGCTTGGGCCTCTGAATGGAACAGCTGGGGGAGGAAAAGGAAACAAAGGAGGGGAAACACAGAGTGCCCTGAACCTGGAGACTGGGGGTGCGGTTTAGGACCCGGAGAGCAGGCCGGCCGGCCACACGCCAGGTGTGACCTTTGCAGACTCCTTGGTTCTGCTTGTTTGTCTGGGCAATTTCCAAGGCGCTGATCGAATGGAAGGAAGCAGCCTGACAGCAGCATGCTGGCTGGATACACTCAGTGGTAGGCTGGGCTTAGGCACAGAGCACTTGAAGCACAACATTAACTCCTTGAGGCCCGGTTCACAGATGGATGCAACGCAAGAGACTTTAAATAATAACTTGCCAAACTAGAAGCTGAGCAGCTTGATGGCTGGTTATTGAGAGCCACATCAGCTCATCTCCCCTGCGTTGCCTTATTTATTTATTTATTTATTTATTTTGCTTCTTTTCCATTCTGTGAAATGATTACTTCAGGCTTAGCCTATGTTTGAATGGCGTATTTTAGAAAGCCAAAAGACTCCCTGTGACAAAAGAGCCATTTTTTTCCACCAGCAGCTAACATTCATTAGCAAGTAAGACATTACCCAGCTCTTCCTTATTGTTTTGATGATTGATTTATAAATGTTATAACTCATTCCCTAAAAAGGTCACATAACGTACAGATTTAGATCAATCTCTGTGTGTGCCCATCAGAAATCTTGAAATTGCTCCCAAGCATTGTAACCTTTCTAGTAACTGGTTGTTTATTTTACGGTTACATATGTATGTGTATGTATTGTCCCGTTTCTTTTCCCTGTAGTGATGAATAGTTAAGTGGGCTGGAGTATGTTATCTGAATAAAGTTCCAAGCTTCCATTACAAGAAGAAGGCCAAGTAATTAGAGTTCGTGCCAGACAGCTTGCAAGTAGAATTATAATATTTGTATGAAAGCCTTTATCTTTTGTGGTTATTACTTGCTCACTCTGCAGCTGCTGTCTCCCTATCAATCAAGATGGTTTAGAGGGAGCTTCAAGGTTGATTGCATAGTTAAGGACTTGCCAGAAGAAAGTTGTGACTGATGGAATGTACAAACTCTGCGGCTGATGGAATGCTGTGGGTGATTGTGAGCGCTTAGGTGTGGCTGTGCCTTCTTACACACTCTTGCCTGTTTGAACTGCACTGCTTTTCATATGTGCCGGAGCTGTATTGTTAAGTACTTGCATGAATATTGCTTGAGCTTGCCCATTTGGCGAAAATTGTATTATTTTGACCATCTGCCATTCTGCTTAGCTGCTGGAATGTAAAACACAGCACCTCCCTCCCCCACTTTCTTTCCTAGGGAAAACACAGCAATTTTCCACTTTTAATCCCAAACTAACAGCTCCACATTTTTTTCACAGAAAATGCCTTTGCATATTAAATCACTTTTTTTTTTCTTCTTTTTTACTGTTTTGGAGCTGCTTCCCCACCCCCACCCCTTGTTAGTCAGTTGATCTAAAATGTAAAACTGGTAAGTAGAAGGTATTGTCTGACATACAAATATCAGGTTTGTTCACTGGCTTTCAAATGAGCAATAAATGCTTAATATTAATAGTAATTGACCCATCATTTCAGTTGTTGTTTTTTTTAACATAATGCTGAGAATTCATTAAAACAGTTGGATTTAGCTATCACAAGCCTGACTCTCATCATGAGGCCTGTGCTTTAAACTTTGTAGAAAGCAAATAAGCAAAGATGCTGACCACATCTGATGGATCCTGTTGAATTTCCAGACTTTGGTTCTGAGAAGTACTAAGATAAATCCAGGCTGCTAGCGCACAGCAGTGGTCCTGAATTTCCAAACCTGCTCAGATAATCTGCTGGTTGCTAATTTTTTTTTTTTATGGAGTTGATTTGTGAGAAGACAACTTCTAAGTTACAGTTTTAAGAAATGTACTTTGTGTAAAATGTCCTACAGCCTTCAGCGAGGAATTATAGCCATAGGGCCACGGTTAGAATGCCAGCTGTAATCTTTAGACTGTGCCCCTTCTGTTGTACCTCAGAACAAAAGGATTCAGATGAAAAAGCTTTAAAAATGTATAGGGCTAGATTGACTAGTATGCAGCGCCTGTTTTGCACAGTTCCAGCAATGCAGAGCACCCTGTAAGCTGCACATACAGCTCCTTTACCTCTCCCAAGTTTTACAGAGCATCCATAATATACAAGGGAATTTGGCCCATTAGTTTTGTGGTCATTACAAGCAGGGAGGGGAGAAGGAAACTAGTTATCCTTAAGTATCAGATTTAAAATACCTAAAATCACTGGAGCGGCATGTTGAAATCCCAGCAGAGTCAATTTAGTCATTTGTCCTTCCAAGGTAAATTTGACTACCTTGCAGGTTACCACATGCAAGCCTTTCCATTAAGGCCATACAAGCAGATGTCCCGCCTGGGCCTTATGGACATGAAAGATCTCCTAACAGTTTTCCTAAGGGCTACCCAGTTGTGTCTAAGACAAATTTTCCCCTCCTTGCACTGTTGTATAATTAGTTGGTTATTAGCCTCCGGTCTAGAGACATCTGCATTTCCACCGTGGCATTTGTGTGTGGTATCTGCAACCTTTTTGGGTCATTCAGGAGGTATACTTGTGTAACTATACAAAATATTATCTTGACACAAAAACCATTAACAGAGCAATTGGAAGATATAGCAGGGTATTAAATCAGAAATGGGTTCACACTGTGAAATGAGCTCCAGTTTAGAGTTCCTGCACCTGAAGAAGGGTGACTGGACCCAAAAACTTGCTAAGAACTTTTTTCCAACTACTCTGTTGGTCTACTAAAAGATATCACATCTACTCAAAGAGCCTGGCCTGCAAATATTTGTAAACGTAAGAGACACCTCCAAAATTTTGATCTAGATTTTGGATTCTGAATCTTCCTCTTCCATCCTCAAGAGTTTTGGAGGTGTTTGGATATGAAGCTCTGCTTCAGTCCCATGTCTAATAAAAATGTTTATATTGAGGATTTACAGGGAGAACTTGTAACATTGTTTAAAAATACAGTACCAGGAGAGAGCTGATGAAATGGCATTCACACTTAGAACTGTCTTGGGACAAGTCAAAACCACAGTAGCAACAACAGTGCTGTGTTGCAGCATGCATTTTTGTATTCCTCAGAGCATGATTATAATTGCATTGGGGAAAGACAAGAGTTGCATACACACACACTTTAATTTTATTCATTTACTTTTGATTTTAATAGCTGTATCCTCATCTGTTCTCCTGACAAAGCATTGCGTTCTGACCTCGAGTCATAATCCCCTTTGGGGAATAATTGAGTTATAACTTAGTGTAAAACAACAATGTGTAAATACATGTGGACTAGACTGTAGCCATTGGGGATTTTGACAAACTTTGCATAAAGTTCTTAAACTCTGTTTTTCAATACAACAGAAATGATGGAGATTTCATTTACTGCCTTCCCAGTGGAATTGCTACTTTCCCACCCTCCCCCTTTGTTAATCAGGGGCTAAGAGAGATTATAATTTCATCAAAAATATTCACTGTAAGGAAGCTGATTTTCAACCCCCACAATAGAGATTAAGTACTCTGAATTGATTGAATTGCTCCATTCCCTCCACCCTTCTAAGGTGGGGAAGTAGCTGGTACCTGCAGTATCATCTTACTCCTGTCCACTGGGCCTCAGGATCTGGGTAGCTTGTATGGGGCTGTCAAGAAGTTTCTTACTCCCCTGCGTGGGTGCTTAGTCCACAGCACAGCCGAGCCCTTCCTTACTTTCTCTGGAAACAGGCAACATCCAGACTCCTTACCACATACTGGCAGCACAGTCTCCTTACAGCTGAGGGCCAACTTCATTTGTGTACAACTCCGTTAAATGCAGTGTAGCTGCACCTAGGATGAATGGCGGTGTCCATTTTGCATCCTATGAAGCATTTCTGTTGATGTGAACACATGCAGACCCCTTTTGTTCTAAGACACGTTTTCTCCACCTACTTTCTTTTTCAGGCTGTCTCACCACAAGTGCAAGTGCTGACCTCACTGTAAGCATAGGGATAGAATTAGCAGAGCAGACCTCTCCAACGCTACCACGTGCCACGAAAAACAAAGTCTCTGGGAAACTTCGTCGCTCCGCTAGTGCTCTCAGCAAATCTTCAAACTAATGCACTTTGGAAGTGGAAGTCCAGTCAAGGGAACTTAAAGCAAAATTCTTGAAATATATTAAAATATTTACTATATCACTAGAACTTGTAACTTTGGGTAAGCACACAATGAAGTATTTTTGCTATAAAATTACAATTCTCTAATGTTTCAAATCTTAAATTATTGATGGACAGCTTTCACTTGAATTACCCATCATGCATTTCACTTGATTTTTGCTGTCATAAAAATGACTCAGACAAATGTGGGGCGTTCAGTGTGTGTGGCATTTTAAGTGGTATGAGATAACTCACGCATTTTCCCTGAGTTTTGGTAAGTGCAAATTTTAATGTCACAGAGAGACATTCCAAGTGTTAGAACCAGTTAATATACTTTCCATGTCTTGATTTTAAACATTCCAGTTAACCCTTGTTTATATATTAACAAATGTTGTCTAAATGGAAAGCAAGTTTAATTTGATTTACCATCTGATGGATGCTTTTCTTTTTGTAAGTATGGGTGACCAACCTGGGTGCTTATCAATGTCTTCAAGTGCCCATTGCTGTTCTGTTTTGGACTGCTCACTCAATGCAGTTTTTGTGCATGTAGCTAAAAATGCATAAGTATCAAATGAGTGTTGCTAAGTAATTTACCTGCAATCTAGAAAGCTATTGCCAGTTGCATAAAACACCATGCCCTGGATTAAAAGCACTTTGCTTAATCTTGCCATGCTATACAGGAGGGCATATTCTCATGTATCTTATAAAGGCTTGAAATCAAGGATGCTCCAGGCCTTGCAGGCTTGTGTCTCAACGCAGCATACCAGGAAATGGAATTAAGACCCCTTGCATTTTCTCAGTATTCCTGCTATGATCGCCACATGCCAGTGTTGCTATATTTAAAGGTCTGCAGTCTGATGGTCTCAGCATCTATTGTCAAATAGCCACACAGTGTAATGCAGGTTAGTTGTTAACATGTCCAGTTCAGCTCCAGCCACTTAGTTTATATCTCTCTGGTTATTTCATGATTGAAATCCTGTTAGGACTATGCTTGGATTTGGAGTTATTTTGTCATATGGAATGCTGCATGTGATTGATGCATCATAGATTTTAATCACTTTTTCAGTCTAGGTAAAAAATAAAAATGACCAAATTATTTCATTTAGAAAAGCAGATATTGCACATTAGTATTAATTTTGTGTGACCCAGGCTTGCATAACTAGGAGCCAGTACACATCTTAGGTAGCCACATTGACCTGTTGCACCAGCAGGACAGTAATCTGCTAAATGAAGTACCCCTAATCAGACCTAAGTATAATAAACTTGAAAGCTTTCAAGGGCACATGACATTGTTTTCTTTTACTGATCAGCACGATATGCAAATATTTTAAACACAAAACCAACTTGTTGCGATCTCAGTAAGTACTGGGGTTGAAAGGCTAAGGGAAACCTTTTGTACTTTAAAAAATGTAACTTTACCACAAAAGTAAAGGAAATAAAAGGCAAGAACTGTAACCACTTTGAACACTTAATACAAGTGAGAAAATTAAAATTGATGATAGAAATTCTGTCCTCGAATTTTGTCTTCATCTTGCAGCAGCCTGCAAGCAGAGATCAATCACCCATGTAAATGCTGCAATACCTGAGAACAACAGGGTCTGGAGCAGTGAAGTTCCAGCAGTGAATTTCCTAGCCTTTTACAGGACGGTTGGACACTAAGGGAGAAAGAGGCAATTGTCAGACAGCTAAAATCACCTTAGCCTTTGGTCTTTGAATCTTGGATGTTAGTGTTGGTGGTACCTTTGCTGCTGGAGTTTCAGATCTCACACCTGTAACCTTCCTAATCCTCCTCAGGTCTAGTTGACGTTGTTTCTATTTGTTGAATTTATGTTCATGATGTTCTTTAGCCCATTTAAACCTAATGTGATTTATCTCAACTGAAGGGGACTTTTATGTGAAGCTAACTGCACCATTGGGCAGATATTTTTTGTTGCACTCAGTTTCTCTGTATAGGTTAAGTGAATGTCTATCTACTTTCATGTCAAGAGTGATCTGCATTAATTCTCTGTGAATATGGAATACTATTTGATAAATATTTACAGTACTATTAAGTTATAGTTTGGCATTTTGTTATTGGGTTTATGTATTAGTTTATTTGGTTCTAGCAGTAGCCCGTTTATCAGGATAAGGATAAATTTTGTAATTGGACCCATTCATTATCCAAACTAGAAAGTAGAAATTATTACTCATAATGTTAGTATGCTGTCCACGTGAGCTGGCATTTACAATTCACAGGTAAATGCAGTAAATGCCTGCTGGGACAGAGCACTGTTAAATCGCTAAAATGTCTGGTTTTCATTTCACTTTCTGCTTTAAACTATGGTTTTTGCTTCTTCCTGATAGTGTGTCTATAAAGTCAATTAGAAAAGTTGTGTATTGCATTATAAAATGTGTTCTCATAGCAATGATTGTTGGGTAGGAGAACATGGCTATTCTTAGTTATCCAATAAAATGTCAAATATAAGCTGGCTGAAATAGTTCAAAGGGCATTTTTCTGAATAACGTGGAAACTTTCCTTCTAAGCATACGCACATCTCTAATAAAAAGAATGAAAGTTCAGATACAAAATTATTTCCTTGGTACTAAACATATCAAAAAAATGAATTGTCGAAGTCCTAGTGGAGTTTTGTAACATAAAGCAATAAACATATTTTTTCCTTAATGCCTCAGAAACCAGTAAACCGATTCACAGCATAATTTTTTATAAAAATATACAGAACATAAAGAAAATGTCTCTCAGGTGCAAACAGCTTCTCTCTGATCTTTTATTTAACTGCCAGGGTGAAACAGGGATGCTGACACTGGCACTAGACTTTATTTCTTGTTATCCAAATAATAAATGCAGACTTAACTGCATCGGATGAGGATATATTCTATAGTGTTAGTTGTTCGCACCACTTTTAAGCAGCTATATTCTGTCTAAAAAAAGAAATACTGGGCAAAATTCAGAGTTGGTGTAAGTGAGCGTAAATTTCATGGAAATCACTGGGCAAATTTGAGTAGAGACTTTCATGATGAAGTGCAGTTTTGGGGTGTCTTTGGGTAAAACAACTTAATTTGGGCTGATTTGGTGTTCATGTAATCTAGGTGTAACAGAGAATGCAGCTGACATGTAGGTGTACAATAAGCCATGGGAGGAGAGGTTCTCCCTTCCTGAGGAATATAAAATCCTTTTCTTATCCTATTCTGTCACCCTGCACACAGTTCCCATTAAAGTCACCTGATGGGATGACCAGGCCCTTGTTGTTCAGACTATGCTATGCTTTAATGAAGCAGCTTGTTTTTGATGAGTAGGATATGATTTGTACTTCTGTTATTGAAAACTCGTTGGCTACCCAACAACATGCTTGCCCAATGCAGATTCGATTTAGCATAGTTAAACAAAATAAGACTTCATCTTGAGGCAATTGCTGTTTGTTGTAACAGTAGCCATAACTCTGTAGGCTTTCCTAGAGTTTTTATTGTTACAAATAGATTAATTTCACTACTGAAAAGAAATCTCCAGCACATCTTCAGTGCTTGAAGGCATGGGGAGTGCTTCACTTAAGCCTTCCATGCAGTGACTATTGGATGAACAATCATGACAATAATAGCAGCATCTACAATATTTTGTAAAGCTCTGAGGAGAAGGGACTTCTTGATGAAATCAGAAAGATGGGAGGTACTTTTCAGTGTCTTTCGGCCAGACTCTGTTATTCTTTTCTTGAAACTTCTCCTCATTCCAGTTCTCTTTTGCTTACCTACCCCCCGAGCAGGTGTTACACTGAAGATGCGATTGACCAGTTTATCATATCTTAAAGTGTAACCTGGCCAAGCATTTAAGCAGCTAATTGCACAACAAAAAGTAAAACCAGTCACAAAATTATTACGTAAAAAAGGTATAATAATTTTGTGGCTGGTTTCAGTTGTGTCTTAGAGTGAACATGTGGCCCGATGGACTGCACCAGGGCTCAAATGGCCTCCTGTGCAGTCCCTGCCAGTCCAAAACCAGCTGA